GCATTCGGAAGTGGAAGTTGTCCTCCCCCCCCCCCTCCCTCCCTGTAGTCTTTTGGGACACGTGACAGGTCCCAGAAGACTACGGGTCCATTCCCAAAGCGCAGCGCTTCTCGCGCATGCGCAGTGGGCACCCGGCTGTGAAGCCGCAAGCTGTCAAAGCCGGGTGCCCACACTGAAGATGCTGGCGTCAGGGAGAGAAGACGGCCCGTGAAACTAGTGGTGGTGAAGACACTGCGGAACCGAGGGACAGGTAAGTGGCTGTATTTTAAAAGTCAGCAGCTACAGTTTTTATAGCTGCTTTTATTTTATATTTTTTTTTAGGTGGAACTCCGCTTTAACCTCTTCCCTTCCAGTCCGAGTGGCCCTTTAACTGGGCCTTTATGTCAAGGGGCAGGGATGGCCTTCCCGATTATGTGGTCACTAGGAATGGCTGTCATAGTGGTCACATGATCCAGAGCCCATCCTGCCAGCTCCTGACCATAACCAGGCCCAGAGTAGAAGCTGTTTGTGGCAGGCTTGGTCAGTGTGCTGTGTCCTGCTCAGGGCAGACTAGTGCATATTGTGCAGAAAGGACTACTGCTCTCTTTTTCTTCTAACTTTACATTGATCGCAACTTAACTTTTTTTATGCTTCAAGATGTGCTGTCAAACAACATAGTACTTTGCAGGAGGTGGACACCAACTTTTTATTTCTGTAAGTGGCAGTTCCTGCACTGCAAATTAGCTTCATTTCACTTGCACTAACGGTTATCTTCACAATAATAGCGTTTAGTGTCTCTTCTCTTGCAAATGTGTTCATTGCTATTATTTTGTGATTTCAGCAGCTCCTCATTTTAAAATAATATCCTGCTTTTCCATTAAAATAGAATCTAGATATATTTGAAGATTGGCCAAAGGTTTGGGTATTCCAGCCCCTGCACCTCAGGCATGCTGCCATGGTTACATATCATGGTTGCCTTAGCTGCATGGGCTGGAATATGCAACCTTTGCCTAGCTTGATATGTAACCATGGCAGCCGTAGACATGCTGAGAGTATTCCCAGGAGTGTCACATTAGTGACCTATGTGAAGTGAAAGGGTTATGGATGTCTAGTTGGAAAGTTCTGCTTCACTGCACATGTACTGCTCATCAGGGAGATAGAAGAGATCAGCCAGAATTGTCTTCCTATTGTGTGCTTACATCCTATTACATGGCAGCATCGACTAAGTTGCTTTATTAAGGGAAAAATGCTGCTGTGTATGGAAAGTGAACATACCATATGATGAAGTGTACCCAAACTAATTTGTTCTGCTGGACCTAGAAAAGGAGAATTTATGAAACACCAAAATGATCTGCCTGAGTAGAAATCGCCTTTACCATTATCAATGAATGTACAGTTGTGTTCAAAATAATAGCAGTCAGACATCAATAACCTGATCAATCACTGTTTTTGGTAGAAATGATATTTCTACATGGCAAATAATTTACTAGCAGGTGTAGTAGAGTAATAGAAATCCAACAGACCCAACAGTCATGACATGTATGCTGCTGATTCTGTGTAATTGAATCACTAATTGAAAGGGGCATGTTCAAAATAATAGCAGTGTGGAGTTCTATTAGTGAGGTCATTCATTCTTTGAAAAACAGGTGGCAATTATTGCCCTTATTTAAGGAAGGAGGCAGCAAATGTTGTACATGCTGGTTACGGTGCATTTCTCTCTGAAATTCTGAGGAAAATGGGTCGTTCCAGACATTGTTCAGAAGAACAGCGTACCTTGATTAAAAAGTTGATTGGAGAGGGAAAAACATATAAAGAAGTGCAGAAAATGATAGGCTGCTCAGCTAAAATGATCGCAAATGCTTTAAAATGGCAACCAAAACCTGAAAGACGTGAAAGAAAGCGAAAAAAACTACCATTCGAATGGATAGAAGAATAGCCAAAATGGCAAGGACTCAGCCAACAATCAGCTCCAGGAAGATCAAAGAAGGTTTAAAGTTACCTGTGAGTACTGTTACAATTAGAAGACGCCTATGTGAAGCCAAGCTATCTGCAAGAAGCCCCCGCAAAGTCCCACTGTTGAAAAAAAGACATGTGCTGAAGAGGTTACAATTTGCCAAAGAGCACATTGACTGGCCTAAAGAGAAATGGCGCAACATTTTGTGGACTGATGAAAGTAAGATTGTTCTTTTTGGGTCTAGTGGCCTGAGACAGTTTGTCAGACGACCCCCAAACACTGAATTCAAGCCACAGTACACTGTGAAGACAGTGAAGCATGGCTGCGCAAGCATCATGATATGGGGATGTTTCTCATACTACAGTGTTGGGCCTATTTATCGCATACCAGGGATCATGGATCAGTTTGAATACATCAGAATACTTGAAGAGGTCATGCTGCCTTATGCTGAAGAGGAAATGCTCTTGAAATGGGTGTTCCAACAAGACAACGACCCCAAACACACCAGTAAACGTGCAACATCTTGGTTCCAGACCAACTAGATTGACGTTATGGAGTGGCCAGCCCAATCCCCGGATCTTAATCCAATAGAAAACTTGTGGGGTGACATCAAAAATGCAGTTTCTGAGGCAAAACCAAGAAATAGAGAAGAACTGGAATGTAGTCCAATCATCCTGGGCTGGAATACCAGTTCACAGGTGCCAGAAGTTGGTTGACTCCATGCAACACAGATGTACAGCAGTTCTCAGAAACAGTGCTTATACAACTAAATATTCATTAAGTGATTCAAAGGAAAGCAAAATCTTCAAACATTTTTCAGTTTATATAGTGAATGTTTGAGTTTGTAAAGAAGAATACAAACACTGCTATTTTTTTTGAACAGTCTAATATTCACTTTTCTGCAATTTTTTTAGAGGAACAACACAAATTTGATATATTTTTCTTCATGCTTTGATTTGGAATAGAATGTGTAGTGTTCCCAATGCATTTATGTGTATGGAAAGAAAAGCTATTAGAAGGATTTTGAGCTTTATTCACTTTTTTCAACACACTGCTATTATTTTGAACACAACTGTATATGGTGATGATTGCAGCCTTCCTTTTGCTGTTCCTTGATGTAGAAAGAATCATTTTTTTTTTCTTTTTTGTATAGCCTGCGAGAGTTTACACAGCACTTCTAGTGTTAGGGCCCATTAACACCAATTGCCTTGTGGGAACCGCACTACACAGGAATGTTGTGCTGACCACATATGAGTGGGGTGCCATTAACCTCTTCCCTACCGCGCTATAGCTTAAAGAGAACTACAGTGTGGTTGTCTAGTTCTGGGACGACGTCCATGAATGTCATTGCAGAACCCGCCCCCAGCGGCACGCATCTGGCGCCGACGGTGATTGCTATGTCCTACGGCCACAGCTGATCACGTGATATGGTAAACGGCCAATGACAGTGGCCTTTTATCACATGATCAGCTGTATCCATGACACAGCAGATCACCAGGTAAATAGAGTTGCCGGTTATCGGCTACACTTTCTTTATGCTGTCACAGCGTGAGGAAAGTACTGCCAATAACTGGCAATTGTCAGAGAAGTGATCGGCACTGATGATCAGTGCCCAGCAGTGCCACCCACCTGTGCCCATCAGTACCACCTGCCTGTGCCCATCAGTGCCTCCAATCAGTGCAGGTTCATAAACGTACATCAGTGAAGGAGAAAAAAAACATTTTCATAATAGAAACAAAGAAAAACTTTTTTTTCAAATTTTTTTGCGCTTTTTTTGTTTATAGCACAAAAAATAAAACACCCAGTGGCAATTAAATAACACCAAAAGAAAGCTCTATTTGTGTGAAAAAAAATGATAAAAATGTCAGCCGGGTACAGTGTTGCATGACGGCACAATTGTCATTCAAAGTGCGACAGCGCTGAAAGCTGAAAATTGGCCTGGGCAGGAAGGGGGTATTAGTGCCTGGTAGACAAGTGGTTTCTAGAGGCCGAAGGTTTGTTACCTTGATGCATTCTATGCATCAAGGTAAAAAAACCTTCAGTGTTCAGCTCCCCCCTCAGCCCCCCTCTAATACTTGCCTGAGCCTGGTTGCAATCCAGCTCTGTGCACGAGAAAAATGGCTCTGCTGGGTCTCTCTCTCCTCACTGGCTGGGACACAATCATTGGCTCCCACTGCTGTCAGTCACAGCCACTGGGAGCAGGGGTCAAACTGCGTTGTGTGTGTCTCATAGACACACAGAGTCGGCTCGGGAGCGAGGCGCATGCTGAGTGCCCCCAGTGCAAGCTGCTTGCTCTGGGGGCACACAGCAGGGGGGAGGGGCCAGGAACGCCAGCATGGGACCTGAGAGGAAGAGGATCAGGGCTGTTCTTTGCAAAACCATTGCACAGAGCAGGTAAGTTTACCATGTTTTTTGGGGGGATTTTTTAGGTGAATCTTTAGTATCACTTTAGTTATTAGTGGCACCCACAAACATCTTGCAAATGCTGGTGTTCACGGCCACCAAAATGCATGGTACTGCAGTAAACGGTGGTACACGTGGATAATTTGGTGGAAGGCTTTGGACTTTTGTTTTAGATTTTATAGGTTTGTGAGTTTTGCTCCATTATTTACTGAGGGGTGGAGTGGAACCACTTTATGGTGCATGCAGCAACCTTATGTTTAACCACTTGCCCTCTTGAGGATTTACCCCCCTTCCTGACCAGGCCATTTTTTGCGATACGGCGCTGCATTATTTTAACTGACAATTGTGCATTCATGCAATGCTGCAGCCAAATTAAATTTACGTCCTTTTTTTCCCACGAATTGAGCGTTCTTTTGGTGGTATTTGATCACCTGTGTGGTTTTTATTTTTTGCGCTATTAAAAAAAAAGACCGAAATTTTGAAAAAAAAAAACAATTTTTTTTACTTTTTGCTATGTAAAAAAAAATCGAATTTCGTCATAAATTTAGGCCAAAATGTATTCTGTGACATGTCTTTGCTAAAAAAAAATCCAATACGTGGTTTACGTGAACATTACAGCGTTTACAAATACTGAAATTTTTATTTTTACTAGTAATAAAGGCGATTAGTGACCTATAGCGGGACTGCGGCGGGCATTCTAACACTGGGGGGAACTGACTTGGTGTCACTGACATCCCCAGTGACACCAATACAGTGATCAGTGCTAATAAAAATTACTGACACTGTACTAATGACACTGGGCAGGAAGGGGTAAACATGAGGGGCGATGAAAGGGTTAACTGTGTGCTGGGAGTGTTTTACTATAGGGCCGTGTGTTTGTGCTTCACTGTAAGCACATTGCTTTGTATGGCTGGCTGTGCCCAGCCATGCAAAGCAGTGTGCACGAGCTAACGGAGAACTGTTTTGTTTACAAACAGTTCTTCTCCCCATCAGAGATCCTTGGCAATCACTGGGCACCAGCGATTAATCACCGGCCGGGACCCGGTGATTGACAGCAAATGGTGGCGTGGGTAGGGCGTGCGTGCGCCCCCTACCTGGAAATGCAAAATCACATACATATACGTGATTTTGCGCACCCGTGCCGTCCTGTAGCAGTATTTCTGCTATAGGGCGGATGGGAAGCGGTGAATTCCTAATTCATATGCAGTCTTATGTTAATATGTTTGATGATTTTTGTGGTGTAAGGGGTAATCACGTAGATTGATGTGTATGGGGTAATCACGTAGATTGATAATTCGGTATCATTCAAATGAATGGGCTATCCAAACGGCAGCAAGTGGAAACGTGAAAAACTGTGCAAGCGAATACACCTTTTTTGGTGTGAACTGGCCCTTAAACTGGTCATGGTTATCTGTATTACATTTCTAGCATCAGATTTAGGTAGTGGTTCTGCAGAGAAAAATATATGTATTGATAGCTAAAATGCTTTTTCTTATAGAGATAATAAAAACAATTAGAACCCCCAATAGATGTTTTTTTGCAGTGAGACATTTACCCTCACTAAAAATGAGGGAAGATCCAAAATTTTAGAAAAGGTGAGGGGAAATCTTACAAGGTAACACCTGTTCTGGTGACAGCTAAGAAAGAAGAAAAAACTGATATGACTTAACCATTCCCTACTCAATCCAAAAAGTTTTAAAAATCAACTGAAGATACACTTTATTAGCATGTCTGAAACTTATTACACAGTTGAAGCCTCTCCCTGCCAAGTAAATAGACCTTATGCCCAGTGCTTGTATTTACTATAAGGCTGCCATCACACAGTCGCTCTCTGCAGAGCAGCATAGTCCGGTTTCCTCAAAGTTTGAAAGATAATATGTGAAAATCTGGCTCCAAATAAAAAGGATAGCCAAATTTGAGCTAATTAGACCAGTTTTCCAGAAACCCAGTAGTGCAAACACTTTTTTTTCCACTCATCTCTTTTGTAGAGCTTCTCTCATATCTAATACAGTGAAGTTACGTATAGCAGTAAGTGCTGGATGCTGCCTTCACTGCTTCAAATTTCCATACTAGGGCTGCTGAATGTATTCTACCCTGACTACATAGTCTTTGCAGCCAAAAGGGAGAGGGTTCTAGGAAAAACTCTTTCTTCTTCACATTGGACAGAGATATCCACTTACTTATTAATCTTCGTTCTCCTTATATGCAAAACTTACTAGATGAAACTATATCCAATGGCGTCTACATAAGCTTTTTCTCATTGTTGACCCTTGATGCTAGTGCTATGGATCAAAAGTGGGTTCTCTGAAATACAGTGTAGACTTGGCCAACTGTTACGTTATTATTGGATTTTATCACTAGAATGTAGGTAACTGATGATCCAGCCTTTTTTTCTCCCCCATACCAATGCTTCAAATTATCATTCACAACAGTACTGTCTCTGACGTTCGTCCTTAAGAATACTCATGAACTCTGAAAGTCAAGGAGCTCTGTTTTGAAAATATGAATGACACTAAATAGTCTATAGCAGGGTGAAGGAAGCTGAAGAGAGCAAAATTCCAACTTGTTAGATAAAGCTGATATTTGCACAATGTCTTTCTCGGTTTTGTTTTGCATGTTGTTCTAAATCAGTATTTCTCAACCTTTTCAACACAGGAGAGCCGTAAGGGCTCATTGACACCATGGTGCAGAGACGCCAGTTTTTCTACATATGTTCTGCAAGGGTGCAATGAAACCAGTTGTTGCCTGTGTCCCTGTTCACACCACAATACTGGTATCATGTGCAGATTTGTTTTGCACAGGACTCTGCAACGTGTATAAAACTCATTGGAGTGCACATAAAAACTGATATCTCTGCATGTGAAATCTGCGCATCAGTTTCCATCAGTTTTTATGCATGTATGGTGTGAACGAGGCCTTAAAGTGTTACTAAACCCAAAACAGTAAAATCAGTCTGTATATGCACTAAAGCATGCTTGTTATACTCACTGTGGAACCTAAGGGGTTAATCCTCTACATTGTGTTAAAAGGCTGTTTGATCCTGTCTTCTCTGATCCTCCCTTTCTTTTACTGTCCCCAATCCATCTGCTGATAGTACAGAGCTCTAGGAGTCACTCCGCACATGCTTAGTTTAGTGTGTATTGCTAGAGAGTTTTTTTTATTCTTTGGGAGAATGTGATCGGCACTCCAGACAGAGGGTCAGGGGTTATGCAGCCTCATATGACAGTCAGAGCAGAATGAAACTTCTCCTACAAGCTTTAATCAGTGCTCAGCTGGACACTGATATAAGTCACAAGACTGCTATATACTGCTGATGAGAAAAGGTATTTAGCAGTTTTTATTTACCAAAAATAATCACATTTCCATGTTTTGTGTACTGTGGGAGATAAGATATAGTGAATGCAGGGTCATCTACATCTACAACTGATGATAAATTAGCGTGATTGTCAGTGGGAAGACTACTCCTTATACTTGTGGTCAGTTGGAAGAATTACCCTTTAACAGATATTTTTAAAAGATCAATGGTGTCAGTGGAAACTTATCTGTGAGGCAGACATTGCTCATGGAACCCCTAGCAACCTCTTGAGGAACTCTCGAATTCCATGGAACCCTGGCTGAGAAATCCTGTTCCAAAGGATTGTTGAAGCTAGAAATGTAGAAACCCGGAGGTGCCTACTATTACATGCCACGGTCTGTTTACTACCTTTTTGCATTGTTTTAGGCTTCATATACTCAAAGTTGATTTATACTCTCTCTCTCAAAAAACCCCCCCAAAAAACTGATAGGGTATGAACTTCATGACAACTTTATGACAGAAGATACCCTATTGGTCCACCTGCCTGTCAGCGGTAATGTACATTGAGCTGCGTATATTTGCTGTGCATACTATTAATTGTGGCATAAAACTCTTGGGGGCTATTTTTAATTAAAAAAAAGGTTTAATTCTGCTCTTATTCTATTTAGATTTATCAGTATAATAAAAACAAAATCCACAGTTATTTGATATCCTATTATAATAAAACATGAAAACTTTTACGTGGGTGAATACTTTGTGTAGGCATTATGTGTATGTTCATTTTTAATTCATTTACTAATAAATTTACCCTCCCGATCATCTTTTGCTAATCATTCGCTATTAGTCTACTAAATATTATCGAATAGTCCTGCTACAATTTTTTAAATGTAATTTAACTGCAATCAGATATACCTCCTAATCGACCACATTTTTCCTCCTCACTACTATGGCATGAAGCATCTCTAGTTCCACCACTAGGGGTGTGCACAACTGACAAGCTACTGAAGCAATGAATTATGATTTCATCCTCTGCTTTTTCACAGGTAAATGCTGCTGTCTCAACTCCACCTTAAACTGTCCCTCTGCAACGCATTGACTTTCTGCTAACCTGGGGTAAATGCTGCTGTCTCATCTCCACCTTAAACTGTCCCTCTGCAATGCATTGACTTAGTCTATAGCTTTTGGTCTGTTTGTGGTGATTGATTCTCACCTCCTTTTGCCTTTCTGTGATCAGAGAATCAATCATCTTTTATGACTTTGACCTGTGTCTGTGTGGCTGGTCTGTCTTTGACCAACATCTCCCCCCATTTCATGTGATCCTTATCAGTTCCTAATTGGGCAGAGAAGACTTGCTCATCTGATCATCTCCCTATAAATTTAGACCAGCTCATGGGGGAGGTCACAGATGGGGGGCACAGTTTTCTGCTGGAGTGTGAAGCAGCAGTTGAACACAGCAGTTGAACTAAAGCAGGATGACTCAAGCAGCAGGAAGGTACAACAAAGAACTCTACTGCATGCTGGATGGACTGCAAGCAAACACCCTGGGAAACATCTCCTACAAATCTGAGTCCCACTCTATCTACCTTTTAATATGCCGCCTCTACTCCTTTTCATATTACTATCCTATGTTCTCAAAATCTCATTTCTTTACCCCTCTGCTCCACCTCAAAGCTTATACATCTCACCCTCACTGCTACCATCTCCCTACTACTGCTCTCAACACCTCCTGCTAATACATTACTCTCCTGCTGACCCAAACATCAGGACTGGAAGGCATGTGCACTCGTATACATCCCACTCCCACCTCACTTTCCTCACCCTTCTTCTCCTAACCTCTGGGGATCTCTCTCTAAACCCTGGTCCTCCAGTTTTCTCATTCCCACACCAGGCACCCTCCTTCCTCCAGGAATAGCGTCAATCCACTCAATTTAATCTCTATCCCCGTGCTTTCTAAAAACCACCCTCCCTTTTTTTGTGCACTCTGGAATGCCCCATCTGTCGGTAATAAGCTCACCTCTGTCCATGACCTTTTTGTCTCCCACTCCCTTAACCTACTAGCAATTATAGAAACCTGTCTTCAAGCATCAGATTCTGCTTCTCCCACAGCACTTTCCTATGGAGGCCTTTTCTGGACCCACTTACCCAGACCCAGTGGTAGGAAAGGGGTGGAGTTGGTTTGCTTCCATCCCCACTGAGCACCTTTCAAGTCCTCCCTAACCCACCCTCACTATCCATCTCTTCTTTTGAGACTCACTGCATTCGGCTGTTTTCTCCTATTTCTCTAAGGATTGCAGTGATCTACCTACCTCCTGGACCGGTGTCCCGCTTTCTTAATGACATCTCTGCCTGGCTACCCTACTTTCTCTCCTCTGAACTACCCACTATCATTCTTGGAGACTTTAACATCCCCATTAATGTGAACAATCCAGCTACATCCCAACTCTTCAAGCTAACCTCATCTTTTAATGCAATAAATAATTTGCGCTAGTAAATATATATATAAATATATAAATAATAAAAAAAGTTCAAATCATAAGTCCAGAATAAAAATACCAATACCACAAAAAAATGTGCAAAAAAACTTTTGTGCAAAAAAAGTGTCTAAATAT